TTAAAAGAGAAAAGATTTACACAAAAATTACACAAATTTCTTGCACTTAAGAAAAGTGGTGAACAGGGAACAACTTCTTCAATGTGCTTTTTGTGCACTTTGGAGTGGCTGTCACTAGTTGTCTCCTTGGATTTATCTCCAATAAAAGGGGAGAAAGTGGGGGAAAGCTGCATTGATGACAAAGTCAATTCAATATCATGCTTGGGCAAAGATGAGACAGTTGCCTCTGGCAGTGGTCCTGGTGAGCTCAGCAGAAATAGCAAGAGGGATTTGCCACTCTTTCTAAGAGGATCACTCACCACTCCATGTTTGGGTGACATGGCATTCACCATGGGGACGACCCCTAAGAGAAGTGGTAAATTGGCAGTATGGCTTATTGTCCACAAACAAGCCACCTACAGGATGTGATCCAGGTTTATCTGACACAGCAACCCACTGTGGCTAGTTTATAGCCAGTCTCCTTTGCATTTGACAAACCCTATCCTTTACTTACCCTCCCTATAAATATTCCTTTTATTGACATATTTTTCAAATAATTTTTATTTATGTATACATGAATGTATAATTTATTTATAGGCCACCTATAACTGCCAAAGCCTTCCTAGGCAGCTACAAGAATTGTTCTTCACATTAGAGAGGCAAACATGAATAAAGATTGGGGATTTTGTTGTTGTATTCCCCCCCTCCCACCCCTACTGTTCAACAGACCCCCTCCCCCAATCTGAGCTGACAGAAGTGTCCTCACAATGCTGGGGTCCCCCAAGCAGTCCTGGGGGATATTAATATCCACACCAAATGCACTTTATCCAAGTCAGCTCAGGATTCCATGGGCCCCTTGATAGCCATGGGACTTTCCCGACATGTCACTGAGCCAACACATGTAGCAGGCAGGACATGTTCTATGTATGTTGTTTCCATCTCACCGTGGAGCTAGTGACCTAAAGATCTGCGGGGAGGCACAGAATCTCTCCCTTCAACCAATCACTGCCTATTGAAGTTTAGACTAACAGTGATTTTTCCCTTCTGCAAGGGGGAAAGGTCTATTAAGACAGATCTGGATAGTTTCCAGGTGGCCCTTGGGGATTTTCTGGCTGCTCAGGCTGGAAATTCTGTCAAATGCCTGGTCTATCTCTGGAATGCAGAAATGACCCAGGCAGTGGTCATTATCATTCCTGAATATCCTGTAGGAAAAAGCTGTAGGAAAGCTTTTTACAGCTCCATGGTGTACGCAGGGGCTGACAGAGATAAACCAATTAGAAGACCACTGGAGTACAGATTAGGGGAAAGTCCTAGCCCCTTATATGCCTCTAATCAGATATTTTTAGAGGCAGTGAGGAAGGCAAAGAATCAACATCTTACTGTCTCTGTTCAGTCTATTCTATGCTGCTCAATAGAGCTTTGCAGGGTTGTCCAGGAACTGAATCCAAGTACATCTTAGGCCTATCTGAGGTCTGTTGTAATATATTTCCTAGGCACTTCCAGGTAAAATTGCTTGCATGCATTAGGACTTATTTCCATTTTATGGCAGTTGCATCAGGGAAAGTACCTAGCCTGGTCAAGTTTTTTGGGAGGAGTTCCAGCTGATGCAGTTTGAGGATGCTCACAAAAAGCTTGCACAGGTTTATGCAACCACATCCATATTGGATCCTTGCTCTTCTCGGCTTTTAAAAGCTAGCAGGGAGGGAGTGGCCAGGGAGGTGGGCCAGGGAGGTGGGCCAAGGAGGTGGTCAATGCCTCTTTACAAGACATATTGGTTCCCTGCACTCTGAAAGACTTGAAGCCACTCCTCAAAAAGTTCCTCTCTGGACCCAGAAAATCCTAGTAACTATGTTGACGTTTTATTTTCTTGAGGAAACATTGCATTTTTAATCCCTTGTTTTGGTTTGTGCTTTGAGCTTAGAACATTTTGTACACTTAGATGTAAGAAGTGGAATATCTGGTCCACTTCCTGGGAAAAGGTCCCTGAGCAGGTGGTGACCAACCTGGATCCATCTCAGTCACACCTTTTTTTTGGCACAGAAAGAGTTTTGATCATCCTGTATGATTACCTAAATTGGGGAAGGGGAATCTGACCCTGTTGATACTCCTGGAGCTCTTAGCAGCTTTCAGTACCGTGGCAACCTTCTGGGGCAACAGTCTGAAGTGGGGGTAAGGGACATTGCTTTCCATTGGCTTTGCTCCTCCTGGATGGTTGGCTTCCAGAGTGCTCCTTAGAACATTGCTTGGCTTTGTCTTGTGTCCACATTTATTCAGCATCTACACAAAAGCACTGAGTAGGGTTATCCAGAATTTTGCATTACATTACCATCAGAATGTTGACAATGCAGTTCTACTCCCTTTTCATCTTTTACTGATGAGGCTGCAGGGGCCTAACTGTGAGAAAGCACTGGGAGAGGGCTAGCAAATTCAAGCTCAATGCAAAGAACACTAGGATGTTGTTACCAGGTGGTTCCTCTGACTGAGGAGTGTTCAACCTGATCTGGATGGAGCTGCACTTCCCTTGAAGGAGCACATTCATAGCTGGAGTGGGGTCCTTCTGGAGCCATCTTTGTCCCCTGTGGCATTTAAGAGCTCAAAATAGTGCATGGGGTAGTGGCAGCTGTTTTAGGAGGCTGAGCTGGATGAACTGGTCATATTTTTAAAATGTTGAACTTCAGTTTTAAATTTGTTATGTTTTACTGCCATTTATATTTTATACTGTATTTTATATTTACTAATGTTTAGGATTGGAAAGATTTGGCTATCAGGCTGTACAGAAATAAAATTCTTTTTTCTTCTTCTTCATCATCATCATGTGGCATGTTCTGACTATCTTCCTCCTACCAACAGCACTTTCCAAACTCTCTCAAGGCAGCTTCCGACACAGAGCACTATCCACCAATGCTGTGTAAAGCTGCACTTGGCCAACTATCAAAAACCAGTAAAAGCACTTACGGCAACTGAACTTACCTGGATGACTAGAAATAATTCAGACTCCACACTGAGTTTCTTCTGTTCTGGTCTTTAAAATTTCTCATTCCATCATGGTTTCCATTTATATTCTTGATTGTGGTCATCATTCCTCCAAGTCTCTTCCATGCAAACATTCCTTACCCTTAAACGACTTGGAATGTCTTCCCAGAGATGTCTCTTCCCTCTCTCTCCACTTTCAAGCTGCCCTCTAAATTGGTTTAGTTAGATTAACCCTTAGTCCCAATCCACAAGTGAAAGGAAGCCTCAGTATGTATGTATGTATGTATGTGGGATTGCATTTGCCCCTGTCCATCCCTTACCTTTCTACTTCAGTTGTACATGAATTCAAGGCAAGCACCCATTCTTTTTGCTTGTGCCAATTCTAAGAAGTAGTGCACGGATGGGGCCCAATTGGTACTGGCCATAGGGCTCCATAGGGCAGCAAGGCTTGTACCAGTATACACTCACTTTATTTAAAGATCCCAAGTTTCATATGGTTGGAAACGAGATGGCAGTTTATCTCACACAATGAAGCTGTTCCTTGTGTGTCCCACTGGAAGAAGCAACGATCATGCACTACGAAGAGTCCATGCAGTCAGGATTTAATTTGCATGCTTTTCTAACAGCAATATTTCATCTGCTATTAATAAGCCATGGTAGCTTGTCTTCCCCCTCATGCGTGCCTGGGAAGAGGACCAGCACAGCTACTCTCAGCAGCGTACAGCGTGAACTTGGTGGTGGTAGCTTGCTCCCACACTTACCAAGTCAGCTAAACAAGCTGCACTGACTAAGGCAAGGATGCTAATCTTTTCAACATGTGCGGCACAGCAAACAAGCCACATGGCTTCCTTGCCCAAGTCAAGAAAGTGTGAACTGAGCAATTGGTGAAGAGGCAGACAATTATTGCTACAGGACCAGTGACTTCAGACTAGTTATGAAGAGGCATGTGGGGAGGAGGGGGGTCAAGCAGAAGAGGCACAAATCACCTATGAAATGCAGGAGCTGCGGGGGCCGGTGTGTGGATAGCCAGTTTCTTGTTGGGGCTGGTGGTACATTAGATCTAGTGCTCAGAGCAGTATTCATACTCTTCTGATCCACAATCCACTCTTCCATCTTTTGCCTTTTCAAACAGAAAGAAAAAGGAAAATATGGTTGCGCCCATAACATAATTGTGGACAACCTGTATGTCCATCTTCCATCATCCCTAACCACTTCCCATGCTAAGCTGGGGGTAATGGAATTAGAGTCCAACATCTGGAAGGGCACGAATTGTATCCCTGATTTAGGAAAACATGGTTTTCTGAAATTAGGTTACTTTAAACAAAATGATGATTATTCACATACTTTTGTATTTGGTTGTTTCTATCCCAGCAAAATCTAAGGGGCACATCATATAATGATTGTATGACTAACTCTACATTTCTAGAACTGTAGAATTTTAATTTAGTCAAACATTTAACCAGTCCAGTCAGTCCTATATCATCTTCACTTGCTACCGATTGAAGTCTGGGCCCAATTTACATTGCTGACTTTGACATATAAAGCCCTAAATATGGGCTAGATATCTGAAGAAACGTCTCTTTCCATACGCACCTGCTCGAACTATGAGATTTAACACTGAGGTCCAGAAGCCTCCCCAGAAAGAGGTTAGAAGAGTAGCTACCCAGGGAAGGGTCTTTTCTGTGGCAGAGCCCCAGCTATGGAATGTGACCCCCAAAGAGGTGCGCTTGGTGCCAACACTTTGCTCATTTTGGTGCCATGCCCAAACCTTTGTATTTACCCAGTATTTCAATGGTAGAATGATTTCTACTATAAAATACAGAACTGTTTTTACTGTATGTTTTTAATATATTGAAATTACATTTTATCTAATCTGTTGTTATGGTTTTGGTCTTTTGATAGCTGACCAGAGATCCGCTTTGGATATAGATGGGATTATTTTTTAAATAAATAAATTTAGATCCACATTTTAAAGTGAACACTAATACAATGAGCAACAAGACAAAAAGACAGAGTCACAGATGCCATTTAACATGAAAAGGAGACTATTTGTTTAAAAGCCATTTTTTATTTTCCTTCACCATTATTGTTTTACAATACAAATTTCACCTTTTTGAACACACAAAAAACCCTACAGAAGATAACTCTGCTTCACGTAAAATACAGAATGAATATATATATTTATAGATATATAGATATATATATGCTTCTTCATTCTTAAAAAACTATTTTGTTCAGCACATTGGCAAGTATAGGATAGAATACTTCCCCCCAAACACAATATGTATGGCAGGACTGAAATTTTAGAGATACATGCAGTTTCTGCACAATTTTATTTTAAAGAGCTCAATTATTTTTTTCAACAATATTTTCATTCAGGGATGAGACATTTTTATAGTTTGATTTTTGAGTTGCTGATCATTTAAAAAAATCTTATAAAAAGGAAGTCATGGCTGGTTTCTTGCTATAGTTAAAATCCATGTATGAAGTAGACAATAAAATAATTTAAGAAGCAAATTTCACTTTAACCTGCCCACAATGTGTGAAGACTTGATTATCATATTTGGTTTTTCCACTGCCTCAGTCATCTGAACATTGCAAGCAGATTTCCAGTTTAATTTAGATATAAAATCAAAGTTTAGTAATGTGTACAATACATATAACCTTGGTTTCATGGAATACTTTATTTTAAATAAAAAAAATTTAAAGACTGCCTACTGACCATACTATCAAGACAAGAAAGGCACTAGAAACAGACAAATCTCTCTCCCAAGAAGCATTTTTTATTTTAACTCATTTCTCTGACATGTAAAAATCTTTTTAGATTTTATTTTTACGCATATCATTTTGAAAAATAAAGTTAGGAAATACTTAGAAAATCACTTTACAACAGAATTATTTTTTGCACCATTTGACACTGTCACTGCAGATTTACAAAATCAAAGTTTACCAAACCTTTCTGTGTCTATCATTTGTAGATTCAGTGAAACAGGTAGAAAGATTCCTGTATATTATCCCAGTCAGGTATTTAGAAACCTTCATATAGACATTTGCTAGAAAATGGCTTACAGCCCAATCTTTGGGGCAAGAGATATGAAAATTATGTTTTCCCAAGAAAATAATATGCTTTATTCCCAGACGAGACTGGAAAGACCAGAACTTATGATATAAAAGCCTTTTTTGTTTATGCTGTTGCATCATATACAAAGAAACATGGTGATGAGCAATGCAAATCCAAAACCTATTAACAAGAAATGTGTACAGTGCATGATAATTTACCATTTCTTTATTGTTGTCCATCGCAGATCCTTTGGAGAGAGAAAAATATCACAGTGCTAACCAGGTAAGAGAATAGATTTAAGTCAAGGTAACAGTTAAAAGGTAGAGGAAAGGAACAGTTCAGTTTTTATGGCATCTCATCTTGGGGAGTTTTTAGCACTTTTGGAGGGTTCTCTTGCCATTTCCTTTTTGTAGCTGTTATGTATCATTCACAAATCTGCTGTATTTAGATGCTGTTGAATCTATCAATCTGCTATATCTACCTAGATGCAGTGCTTGCCAGGAAAACGGCCAATGATAGGAACATGGTACAATGCCTCGGACATTCTTTTCAAAGTACTGGAAGGGCCTGTACCACCACACCCGTGCAAGAAGGTTCGTCTGGGAAGCTTCCTTTAGCACCTACAAGAGAGAATATTTACAAATAAAATTTCAGGAAAGAAACTACACACACTCACGAAGCCATCAATATGCACCAGCCACTTCGTATTCGAATGTGAGCTGAATGGTAGTGCCTGATCCTAGACTTTTAAAGTGTCTAAACAGGCTGACTCACATACTCACAGAAATGCATTTATTCTTCATTGATCAGTAAGGCTTTCCTATGAATCTAGCATGGCTGGTGAAGATCCACACAACTTGTGCTGCAAACATAGTCTTAATATTCACTCGTATGTACTGTAAGCACAGAACTGTTTTCTCATTCCTGACTTCTAGCCAAGCAGATCAGAGGAAGCAGCCCAAACTGGTCAAGGAACTCTGAAACACAAGCAGCCAAGCTCCAGGAGACTGAGAAGACAGGGAGCACAAACAGGAGTTTGGCAAGAAGGCCCCTAACTTTTTTCTTCCCTCCCCGCTTAGATTTTCCCCCTTTGTTTTCTTCCTTGTAATACACCCCTATTTCTCGTAGGACTGTGCTGTTAACCTTTTGGGAAGACAGGAGGAAGTATTGGTTATTAAAACAGGTCTGGCAAGCTAGAATAAAAAGATAGCAGAAACAATAGACCAAGAACACCTGGGCACATTTAGCCTCGAGAAGAGAAGACTGAGGGGAGAGATGATCACACTCTACAAGTAATTGTAAGGCTGTCACAAAAAGGAAGGACAGGCTCTCTTCTTGAACATCCCAGAGTGAAGGATATGGAATAATGGGATCAAGTTACAGGAAGCCAGATTCCAGCTAGATATCAGGAAAAAAATCCTGATTGTTAGAGCAGTGTGACAATGAAACCAATTACCTAGAGAGGGTGTGGGCTGTCTCCCACTGGAGGCTTTCAAGATGCAACTGGACAGCCGTCTGAGAGGGATGGTTTAACTTGATGTCCCACATTGAGCAGGCACCTGGACCAGTTACCCTCTGGCCACTTCCAACCCTAATATTCTATAATTCTATGACTGTACCACATGAAACAGTCTACATATTGCTGGGAGTATAATAGTTATTTCTCTCTGTTTGCAGCATACTGAATGTGTAACTGACTACAGACCCAAACAAACCCTCACTGACCTTTTAGAGTCTTTTTGTATAAACAAGGGTGGCTGCATATGTCACATATCCTACTTACACATTTTGAAAGGTTAGTGAGAAGGAAAGTCTTGAATATTTTTCCAACACAGGAGATCTATGTGCTCCCAAGGTAAGCTGAATTAATACATCTTGCCACAGAAATGATGCTCCTGGTTCTCTTGCATACATCACATCAGAAGCATTGAAAGAGAGCCCCATTCTCTTCTCCCAATGTTTGCATTAAACAGAAAAGTGTTTCTAAATAAGTCTAAAGACATTTGACTGGCTTTGCAGCCAGGGCACCTTTTCTCATACAGAAAAAAACAAGAAATAATGTTGTCACTCCCACAGCACCATTCCAATTTTCAGGGCAAACATATTCAAACATTTTAGTTGATTCCTACTTACATACATAGAAGTGATGCAACAAACAGCTTCATGGCTGGTGCTGCTTTATTTTACTAGTGTGGAGAATCCTACAATTTTCAAAACAAGTTTTGTCCTCTGTTTCACAAAGGCAAGAAATGAAGATGCACAAGAGATGGAGCTATCTAAAATGTCCATTACAGTGGATTGGAATTGGTCACCTTAAACTCCCATTAGGGAGGAGGGAAACAGTGACTCACTTGTTGATTGGCCATTGTGTGATACCACCAGAAAAGTCTTGTAGTGATGTAGTAAGCCACCACCACATCGACAGTATAGTGGTCATGAGCCAAGAGAATACAGAACATTCCAATGATGCTGAGAGCCCAGCAAATCCAGTGGTACCACCAGAGTCGCCGAGGGGAATCTGAAATCAAGGGAAAACACAAGGTCTCATGCATGAACTCCATACAAATAGTACATTCTTCTTCACAAGCCTTGAAATGCTAGAAACTGCAAATTAAAAGTCTTTTAATGGAATAAACCTCAAGTGGACTAATGTGATTTGCAATATTACGGAAGGTTTAATAATATTAACCTCACAGGCTTCCGTGGCTTGAAAACCTGCCTAGCTGTAATTCCACTTGCAAATCCTCCCTAACTTCTGATGTTTTGTAAAGGAGTGTGACTGTTCAAATGAGATCAACTTAAAATGTAACCTCCTTGTTTATACTGTAAATTTAAAAAATTCAGAACTAATACTAACTAAAATAGTATTTTATAAGGGTCAAACTATAGCATAGATTTTGGCCATATATAATGTAAGTCTCCTCCATTTGCAAAGGCCCTTAAGAAGACAGGGGCAAAATTACAGAAGTGCCTGTTTATTTTGTGCCAATCTGCTCAACACTGTCATTTTTTACATTTCTGACTAGTGCAAGCAATCCCTGAGGAAGGTGTTTTTTTGCTGCTTTCCAACTCCGTTTCCTTTTGCCTTGTGTCCTATACATTGCTGAGCACAAAGACTAGCTTATTATTGAACTTTATCAGCTACTCTGGAGTCTTTTTTTGACTGGGTAGCAGGTTACAATGCTGTCAATAAATAAATAAAATGAATTATGCAGGTTGTGGAGAAAGTGGATAGAGAGATTCCCCCCCCCCCCCATAATACTAGAACCTAGGGTCAACCCTTGAAGCTGGGAGCTTCAGGAAAGAATCTTCCAGGGCTACGGAGTAGGAGGGGACCACAGGAATGAATAATTGCCCCCTTCCAGTTCTACTGATGGTGGACAGACATCACTGTTTTGCAATAAATTACAAATGAAAGAAGTATTGATTGATAGGTTTGATCAATCAATTCAGCAGCTGGTTTACAAACTACATATATTAAAGTTGTGCAGAATACAGCTCAGCAGAGCACATCATGACAACAGGAACTGAAGCTGTAGGCCAGTGTGTGACTGCAGGGTCTCCTACTTTCGCCCATTGTCAGTTGTAAAATCGCTTTTTGCATGATTCTTGATGCAGATTAGATGTGACTGAACAAACCATATCATGTCAGTTTAACATTTTTTCAACATTTCATCAGAAAGGCTTTTCTTTGGAAAATATATCACAGAACTGCAGTTCTGAAGCCCAGCAAATAAAAATGATGAAAATGAGATGCTCTTTTTTTCTATCTATGTTGTACGAGGTTGCTTCTCACTAGCGGTGCTGACCACATCGTAACATTTACAGCATGACAACAGAGTGGAGAAGTAATGTTTGTGGGTTAGAAAAAGGCTCAAATAGATAACCCTGTACAGTTTTCTTAGAAAACCAGGAAGCAAAAAGAGTTGTCACCAATAGGTATGAGTTCATTTTGTCATTCAATATTTATATCCTACAGTGTATTTTTCAAGAGAGGGGTAGGAGCAAAGTATTTTACCATGAAGTCTCACATGAACTAACACACATCATGCAGTGTGGTACAGAGAAAGTACAGAGTACTTACACTCTTTGATAAATAAGTATGTAAGTGTTAACATCACGGTGTGGCCACTGTACAGGTAGTCACCACACATATCATGTGCCCCTGTGATAGAGAGTCCGCCTCCGGCAAGGAGCTTCATTATCCTCCTCATGTGCGATTCCCAGTCTCCAAAGAGCTGATGGAAACAGAAGAGGGGAGGGAAGAGAAATCGGGACATGACTTCGCATTGGAGTACAAAAGGCTTGAGTTATCTTATGAAAAACACTTCCTTTCAGAACATGGCACTGGGGGAAATCTTATTAGCTACTAACAATTCTTCCTTGCAGCAGTCAATTAAAAATACTATTTTTCTTTAAAAAAAACATGCACAGCCCTAAATAGACTACTCCACAGTCATGGGAAGGATTATTAGCCTAAATATCATCACCTTACTCATTCGTTTTTATTGAAATCATTGCAGATACAAACAGAGAAGCCAAAGCAAGTAACTTGCTTAGCATAATCTTTTGCTTTCTTTTATTACCCAGATTATCCCAATAAATCTGAATCATTTTGTCATTCAATATTTGTATCCTATAATGTATTTTTCAAGAGAGAGGTAGGAGCAAAGTATTTTACCATAAAATCTCACATTAACTAACATACATCATGCAGTGTGGTACGTTATCCTCCTCATGTGCGATTCCCATCCTCCAAGATAAGGTAAGGTAAGGTAAGGTAAGGCTCACCTTACCGCAGCATATTGATTTATTTAAAGAAATTAGAAATGGTTGAAATGTGTATGATCCTTTTTGGATGCTAAACCCTAAATGCATCCTGAATTCCAGGCCAGATATAGAAAGAAAATTTCTCATTCACACATGCAGTTTTGCCCACATTCTGACTTTACACAATGAAGAAATTATCAACTGTCAAGGCCACAATGGACTTGGATGTGGTGGAGACGTACTGGGAAGACTCTAATGAGGCTCTTGGATTCTTGCCAATTCTTTCATGCCCTGCTGCTTCTATTAAGCAAGTGGTGTGTCCTGCCAATTCCATTGTGTGAGCAGGAACCACTGTTTGCATAGCAGCGTTTTAGCACTTCCCAGAAGACCTGAAACTAGTGAAAACTCTTAATCTTCCTTCTACAAGGGATGGATCTCACTTGTGGATGGTGATTGGCAGGACATAAAGAAACTCATGCTGATGTAAGCACCCTCTTGGATTCAGCTCCTTAGTCAGAGAGAAGGGAAGGGGGTCATTATAGTATGTTCCATAGTTATTTGGCTTCTATGGCTTCAAACATCAGTAGTTCACTAGCCCCTGTAGAAGTTTTGGTCAGTTTTGGAAGTTCTAAGGAACAGTGCCACTCATCTGACATCTCAATATAAATTGCCTACATCTGAGCAATGAAATTTCCTTACATATGGACAGAGCAGTTATACAGCAAGTGAGAATTACAAAATATGATACAGGATTGGTAAGGGAAGTGCAATACACTGTAGTTCCTCAGTTATCAGCTGAGATATTCAGAGATCTGATGTGACCACAAGCTTTCAGGGTTGGGTTAACTCCCGAAGTCCACATATCAGGGACTGATCTACTAAACTTCAGCTATTTGGACTAAGAATCATGAGTTTGCTCTTTACAATGCATTTGGGATTTGTTTGGGCTTCTGAAATTGCAATTCTCACTGTTGTAACTTTAAAGACAAAGCAAAAAACCTTCCTTTGTAACCACAAAACTAGATAATTTTCAGGTGCCTCAACTCAGCTCTATCTTACAGTCATGTCTATGATGATATTTTACAGAAGACAATGTCACGGCTATCAGAGCTAATAACATTAGCGTGATTAAGAAACATTTAAAACCTGGATTTCTGGGGAGAGGAGAAAGACTAACGTTCAACAATGTTCACTACTTTGGAGAAAATCTGTTCTGCTTTTGCTTATTCCTCTGCACAATACAGAATGGTTTATAAGCACTAGTAGCATATTGTGGAGTCATCAAAAAAGGGATAGGGATTCTTTGTAGAAGAACAGATGTTTTACATTCCATTTTGTACTTTCCATCTATAATACACAAGTGCTGGAATGTAGTCAAGAAACCAATAGCAACAATGGAAGAGCTACTTCCCCACAAATATTGTGACTTCAAATTGTTCCAACCGAGGCAGCAGGGCTTCACAAAAGAGGTCAAGCCGGCTAGACATGGGCCACTCACTACCTGTGCACCATCTCATAGTGCAGCTGCACGGATGCTGCAAAATTAAGCACCTTGGGTCTCTCTCCCGACCCCTCTGCACACTAGTTCCACAAGAAACATTCTCTTTTGAATTAGCATGAACGCAAATGGTTGCCAGAACTTCCTGCAGTGTTTGTCTCTTGATGCCAAAAGCTACTTTGGGATGTAAAGTGGCCAGTTACTGGAGTAACTGCCACTGCGACTCTTAAATGTCCCTTCCCCTGTCTTCTCCCTTTGGTTAGGTGGAAAATTAGGAGCCACAAGATTTATAAAACTCTGACTACACATGTAACAGAGACTGTCTGAGAAAATAGCCCATTATAGCAATAATGAAGGCTATTATTCTTTGCCGCCACTGTGTCTGCTCACTATCATATAGCAAAGAAACTGAACTGCAAATGGAATCTTTAGGCTCATCCTATTACAGTGGCAAAGCTATGACATGTTTGTGAGATACTGTGCAGAAAACCTTGCTTGCATTTGTAGCATCTAGGATGCTACAGGTAGAACAGGGTCCATGCCAGAGATGTCAATAATAATGCCTTGTAATGGTTGCTCGCTACTTCAGATTCTGGTCTCTCCAGCTTTGCAAAAATCAGCAGCAGGCGGAGGAGACCTCCCTCTACATAATAGGAAAGTAACCATCCAGACTGATTGCCACAATAACTCTGTCAATTACTATCCAATTGTTTATGTTCTTTTTAGAGAAGGCAACCAGATGATTATAACTCAACTGCTGGTCTCCCTGAATTGCACATGTTGTTGTTGTTGTTGCCATTTAACTATTTCAGTACCATGTTTCAGGATACAAATCTTTCTATGGCAGTGTAAAAATAGATTTTTTAAAAAGCATAATGAATCATAAATCAACACACACAGGACCACAACCGATGACTCATGGTTTGGAGGGAAGAGGAGCCAGTCTGGGGGATGAAGTAGGTGCTGAGATATTCTTAGCTCCCTCCCCACCTCTCCGTGAACCTTTCCCAAATGGCAATCGGCGGTACTCCAGGGGGCACTCTAGCAGGAGCAAGCCTTGAACTGTGTCCCTTGCTCTTCTCTTCCTACAGAGCAGCTGGTGATAGATGTCTCTCAGGGACAGGAATACCTTTTTTCTAGCTTTCTGGTCCATGTTTTGGCCTGTTCACAGAGCATAGGTAGTATACATGCTTCTGGTCAGACACCAGTCTGTTAATTTACCAATTAACAGTAATACAGCCCTGTTGGGCTAACTTTCAGTAGTTTTGAACATGTCAAACCATAGCAAAAAGCTCTTGGTTCCATTCTTTTCAAATATAGCAATGCTAGACTCTTGTTTATACTAAAGGCACAGAAACTTTGGTCTGTAGGTCAAATCCAGCTTACCTGAGTTCCACAGAAGGGCAGGACTCCCTTCCCCTTGAGCTCCCTTTCCTTCTAACCTCCAATCATTTAGAAGTTTCTCAGATTTTGTGCATCTCCCTGCCCTGCCCACATCTAAAAGGTTGAAATACTTCTCCTAAGAAGTATTTAGTTGTAGTAAGAAAATTGTATTAAGATATACTGGTATTTTGACCCCACCCCTTTTCTTTTACCCCCAGCCCACTAATGGAATGTGTTTCAAAATATCTTCTCCAAAACTGAAATCAGTCCTTGGGCTAGTCCCTAATCTGCACCACAGGAGCTGACATGTCATGCAGATGAGTCTGGCGTGGCTATGATCTCCTGTTAGCAAGGCTGGAGGGGACATGAGACTGATTCCACTGTTATCAGACTGCTTTCAGACTGAAAGACTTTACACGATCTTCTGTTAGATTGTTCAGTGAACCGGAGTTTTACTGGTGCCACTCAATTCAATTCTGTGACCCTGTTCATTAACTAACACTAAGGTTGAGAGCAACAGGCAATTCTGTGATAGAATTTTTGCCACTTTGCCTTGGAAAGCAATTCTTAAGTCACTCTGACTAAACTGTTCATAATACTGGAACAGCTCAGGACAGGGCAAGGGTAGAGAAAAGGATGTCAGATGATGATAGGAATAGGAAAAATAATTACCTTTGGAGAGCAGTTGAAATGCATGCCAGGTACTGGGAGTGTAGTTACATACATTGTAATACACCGATACAAGTACAGTGTGCCAACTATGCAAAAAAATCTTCTGATTATAATAGACCTGGAGGGGAAAAAAAGGGGAGGGGAAAATGTGTTTTAAGATAAAATGAGTGTGACTCTAGATGCCCACCTATGTGTTCTAGGACACTATATTATCCTTTTTTTTATTTAACAAGTCATTCCCACCTAAAGGAAACCAAACAGACCAAGATGTTCAAAATGACAGTGTCAGTGTTAATCCTATGAACAGAATACCAGACCCTTGAGACCACTGGTATATGTGAAAGCCAGTCTCTTTCCCTCCCTAGACATTGGAGAACAGAATACCAGACAGAGCTATGCCAGCAGGAGCAGACTCCAGGACAAGGTATGCCCTGCAATCTGGAATGAGACCTTCCTGGCTCTCATTCTAGACACTGATTTAAGAGGTAGAGAGCAACTACAGCCCCCTCTCTGATGAGGCCTCTGAATAAAGCTTTACTTTTACTTATATAAGTGAATAGCTATCATTCATTCCTTCTCAGAAAGTTTTCATTTCTCCAGTACAATGGGAACCATTTATTTCTAGGGCAGAAAGAGGCTGAAAATATTAAGCAGGACTAATTATATCATGACAAAATCTGCTCCTATTCTGACACTAATATTATCAGACATCTTACAGAACTTTCACTTTTTCTGACAGAATGTAAAAGAACGTGTTCATGTCATGGGAGAAAATAAAAATATATAGGGTCACATCCAATGCATGCTCCCATTACCCATTGACATAGCAGAAGCAGACTCTAGCGTAATATCCAGTGTAAGCTGGTACTATGTCAATAGTATAAGCAAGCAGCAGTATCAGATACTACCCACTGTCTTACTGATTGGCACTTCCCTTATTCTTTCATGACATACTCAGTATTAAGAGTAGGTGACCAGTAAATTGTATGACTTCATTCTAGGTCTCCTAATATCTATCCTAACTAGTCTGAAACATCAGGCAAACAATCTTAAATATTAAATGTTACTTCCTCCTTCACATACATTAGGAAAATATGTTTTGATTTAATTTGCACTCTCAGAAGACAAGGTTCCAGATTAAGAACAGAAGCATTGGTAACCAAGTGTTGTTATAATTCTCCCCCAACCCACCAATAAAATTCATAACAATCAGGCTTTTTAAAAGCCTGTAAAGAATTTAAAAAATAAATACATCTAGGGAAGTAAAAAGGAGTAATTCCCAAGGATGAGTTGGATCTGGGCAAGCTGAATCATATTTGGGAGAAGATCACTGAAAAAATGATGCTCACATAAGGTGCTAATGATGACATTGTTGTTGTTTGTTGCAAACTCATGCATGACCCATCACGACCCCATGGACAAAGCCCTAAATGGTTTAGGGTCTGGCTATCTAAGGGACAATCTCCTTCCGTATCAGCCTGCCCAAACCTTAAGATCATCTGCAGAGGTCCTCCTCCAAAAAGTGATGAGGAGGGCAAGTATGAGGAGGAAGGCCTGTTCTGCTACAGCGCTTCCATTATGGACCTTGCTCCCCAGAGAGATCCACCAGGTCAAGACCTTTTCATTTAACTGGTTTTTTAATTGTAAATTGGTATCAGCACGACTCTGCGACTAAACAAAAAAATCTTGAGATTTTTTTTTTAATGAAGGACAGTATATAAAAAGTTTAAACAAAGGGTTGAATCTCCCCCTCCCTTTTAACTTTTTTTAGACAGAAAAAAAAAAACATAAATACAATCACAACAATAATAATATAACGTAACAGAAACACAATAATTAAAAAAGAATAAATGAAAGAGTGCACCCACTACCCTGGAGACCAATACTACCATCATACACATACTATAACAATTAATAATATATACTTCAATTATACCCACATCCCCTCCAGAAATTGATATAATTTTGATTGGGTTGGCCTTTGCCTTCTATCAGTACTGCTTTTACAAAATCTTCCCAAATTTCATTATATTCATTTGCTTTCATTAACCCTTTTTAATTTTTATTTCTGTTGTCAGTTTATCATTAATTACCATATTCCATATTTCATTATACCATTCATGCCTTTGTAAAACCCAATTCTGTTTCCAATATTTAACAATCACTAGCCTAACTGCCATTATCATACTTACAATCAATTCTTTCTTAGCTTTATTTGTATCTTGTTTTTCTATCAACAGTAATAACACCATTCTTGGTGACATTTCTAAATCTGTATCTAAAATTTCTCCAATTTCCTTAAATACCATAATCCAAATCTTTGTATATTTTCACAATCCCACCACATATGTTTATAAGTTCCAATCTCTTTACCACATCTCCAACATATATTAGAATATTTATCATCAATTTGATTTAACTTAACTGATATTAAATACCATCTCCATATCACCTTGTATCCATGCTCTTTAATTCTAACTGACATATTCTTATATATTCTTCTATTCCAAATATTCTTCCAATCCTTGTCTTTTATCTCACCTACATCCATTTCCCAAACTGATTTTTAACTTTTTGTCTGATCCCCTAACTCCATTAATATCCTGTAGATTTTGGCAATTCTTCCTTGTGTATTCTTGTGGGACCTTCCCAGAGAGGTCCGCCTGGCGCCATCGTTATTTGCTTTTCGGCGCCAGGCAAAGACCTTTTTATTTAAACGTTATTTTAATTGTTAATATTATTTATTTATTTATTTTATTCTTTGGCCAGGAAAACTTAATTTATACTGTTAAATTATATTGTTTTATATGATGTTATTTATTTATGTTTGTGAGCCACCCCGAGGCTTTGGCGAATGGGGCAGCATAGAAGTTCCCTAAATAAATAAATAAATAAATAAATAAATAAATAAATAAATAAATAAATATTCTTCCTCAGTCTTACATTCTTTTACAATCATTTCAAATTTTGTTAATTGTCTTTCTTCCTCTTTAAATTTGTCCTCCATCTTTATCCATTTTTCTAATTGAATTAAATTTAACCAATTTAATTTAACCTCTGGCAATATACTCCTTAATTGTATTATATTTTTATCTTATTTTTCCAATCTTCCCATTTATATATATGCTTATTTTTTAATTTATTAATCCAATCCTTTAATTCTATTTTTGGGAATTTCTCCATTTCAACCACTGGTGTGAATGGAAAAATTCCCAGGATTTCTGTTGCCTCCATTTTTCCCATACTTTCTGTTGCCTCCATTTTTCCCATACTACCATTGTATTTTTTAAAAAGGGATTTTGAATTTTCTTAATAATTTTTTTAATATCCTTTTAAAACTAAAATGACTCTAAACGATCGCCTATTTTCCTTAATTTTTTTTAATTCAATATCGCTCCATATTAATTCTTTATTTTGGGCTATAATATCTGGAACTATCTTTAATTGGTTTGCAACCCAATACTTTTTAACATCTGGAATGCCCAGTCCTCCGTTTTTTGGTGATTCATACCATAATACTTTACTTACTCTTGCTCTCTTCCCTCCATTACAATAGACCTCCAATAATTTCTGTATTTCCTTTAATTCTTGATCATAAAACCTGATTGGGATCATCCAAAACAAAAAATTAATCTTTGGCAGAATTTTCATTTTTGTTACTGCTATTCTTCCAAACTATGATAATTTTACCTTTTCCTATTATCTTTTATATCCTTCTTTAACTTTTCATAATTTTTCTTATCTCTTCTTCTATTTTAGTTTCCATGATTTCTTTATCCCCTTCTCAGATTTTACACTTTTAATTCTTTTCTATATATTTTTGGCTTTCATTCAAATCTATTTCATTTCCATTATATAATTTGTCAAAAAAACCTTTGAAAAATTAAACGTTTTTCTTTCGCCTTATTACATCTTTCCCCTTTTTCATTCTTTATTACTCCAATTATTATTATTATTATTTGCTTTTTTTACTTGTATGGATCTGGCCAGCATTTTGGAATTTTTATTACTAGGGAATTTCATAAAATCCCCTTTTCAAGTAAATTAGATTTCTTTGAACTTGTTCTATTTCAATAATTTGTATTTCTTTTCTTTTTGCTGCTAATTCTAACATAATTTTGTTTTCTCTACTTTTAATTTATTTTTCTATAATTCTTTGTTTCTTCTAGTCTCATTCTATGTTGCTCTTTTTTGTTTTTTTCTTTTCCAAATCATATGAATATTTTATTCCTAGCCCTCTTATCACTGCTTTCATTGTATCCCATGTTACACTTGTATTACTACCTCCTTTTTCATTTCTTATATTTAATTCTTTTTCCATTTTTAATAAAATCTTCTCATTTTTAAAAATCCTTAAATCTATCCTCCATCTATTTGCCTGTCTATAATCACATTTTATTCCATTTCCGCTGTTATCATTGCATGATCTGATATTTTAATTACTTTTATATCTGCATTGACTATCTTGGAAAATATTTCTGATGTTACAAATATATAACCTATTCTTGTGAAATGTTTTGGTCTATTTGAATAAAATGTATATCATTTCTGATTCCCATTTAACTCTCTCCAAACATCTTTAAATCTGTTTTCATTAATAAATCTACTTAAATCTGTATTTTTATATTTTATGTCTTTGATGGGTTAGATTTATCTTTTTCTTTGTCCATAACCATACTATAATCACCCACCATTATCACATATCCTCTTTTTAATTCTTCTATTTCTTTATATATCTTGCCATAAAACTCTCTTTGATTTGTATTAGGGACGTATATATTAGCTAACATCACTTCTTGTCCATAAATTAGACCTTGTATTATGAGAAATCTCCCCAAGTGGTTTCTTTTTATAACTTTTATTTTAAATTCACATCTTTTGGCAAAAATAATTGCAACACCTCTTGCTTTAGAAGTACCATATGATTTTTTGTATACGTCTGCCCAATATAATTTTAATTCACTTACACCATCTTCCTTTTGATGTGTTTCTTGTAAAAATATAATATCTGCTTTTTATTTATATAAAGATTTTTCAATTCTGGCTTGTTTATATCTTTCTCCCAAGCCATTTACATTCCACGACACAATCTTCAATGTTTTTCCCATTCTTTCAATACATTAAATGTTCTTTTTGGTCTCCATATGTGAAAAAATAAACCCAAAGGGTTGAATCTTATGTTAACTTTTCATTTCAATCTGAAAATCTAATCTGAGTAGAATTAAATTTGATACAACCCACAAATAGTTGTTTTAAGAAGAAAGCAATATTTTATAATCTGCCTATTAAAAATGAAATACATAAAAATAAAATGAATTAGTTGCTAAAATGGACAGAAATGTGACCAAAAGATAAATATAAGTTTACTTACTTGTACTTCAAGAGCAGCCACTGAATGAACCAGAGTCCTACAAGGATCAGCCCATTAATTTCACAGATAGAAAAGGCCCATTGCACTCGGCTAAAGTGATCAAAGAAAGCATCTGGTAGGGGTGGTTCCACCTCCTTGGGAGGCACACGTTCATGGACAACTGAGATTGTCACTGTTGTAAAGACTAAACAGCAAAGTGCATAAAGAAATGCCAGAAATGTCTTCTTCCATTCCATGGGGTACTGGGAACGCTCTGGCTCTGGCATGGGGATTTTTATCATTTCCTTCCTAAAACCATTTGGCATCCCATTGGGTTTTGTTTTGTCACTGAAACCATTTTCACTAGTGGGGGCCTCTGTACTGATGATCAAGTGGCCATTGGCATGCCCATTTTTATGTGCCTCAATGTGGTGCTCCATTTTTAAAGTTTCTATCATGTACAGTAGTCGGTGACCATTGTCCGAAGACACACGTGACAAAGGGGGCTTCTCAAAATTCTCCTTTGTTAGATTGATCAAGTCCCGTCCAGTGAAATGTTCCAGTGGCTCACAGTATTCTGGCATAGCAATCTCCAGCAACCAATCTGCCACCTCCTTAGGTGACCAGTGCACGACTTCTTTCATGTCAACAAAACACTGGCATGTACTCTTAATTTTCCCTTTGAGCCGGAGAGCTATCAGTATTTTTGCAGTACAGGAAGCCTCTCTTCAGCTTGCTCATCCTGTCTAAATCACAACAGAAACCAGTTTTGCAGGTTGATGCAGATCAGCTTCAAATTGTTTGGTGCAAATATCGTCATTTACCAGGTAGAAAGTGTTCACTTCATGTTGCATCTGCAGCTACCTTTCTAAAGTTAAGAGAAGAAAAGAGATGTAGTTAGGACTTCAAACACTGGTATTAACACATTGATCAATTTCTGTAGGAGGCCCCCTCTGCAGGCAGTATTTGCTCTGGTGCAACCAGATGCATTTGGCACACCTCAGTGATGCCTGCTCACTGCCCATTCAAACATCTGCTACAGTGCAGCAACAGGGAACCCAGTGTGCCCCACATGAGCAGAGCAATGCATGCACAAGTGTGCAGCCTGATTAGGTTTGCCTCTGGGACTGCTCACCCAGGGCCTCTCTCAATGGTGCCATCTGTGATATGTAGGCAAGGCAGATAGCCCAGCAATAAGCAAACACTGCTATCACTGAAGTCCAGGCTGAAGATGGAGACATCACTGCCTTCAGCATTTATTACCGCTGTTCCACTGTATGGCCAGTCCTGTCTGATATTGGGGCTCATTTCCACATTCATAAAAACAAACAGATTAAAGACGGCTCTTTCTTGTCACACAAAGGTGCTGCTCAGCACAACTGTGTAACTGGCCGTTTCTACCCCCGCTGCTTCAAGATCAATATTAAATGGTTTTATTGTACTCAAGCCAGCTAGTCTTTTGGCACAAGGAAAATGTTGCAAACATGATGGCAATGTATGCCAAGGAAAAGAAATAAAAAGAATAGAATTCTTTATTTAGCTCTTCCCATTTGAAAGCAATGGAAAGCTCCAGAATGTGGCCAAATGTACAGAATGGCTGTCAGGTATTCAGTGTACTCTTCAGCCTTGTTTAAAATCCATAAAAATACCAATCTAACATTGTTAATACACTCACAAAGGATAAAAAACACATCTGGGAAGGGCACATGATTACATCAGAGACACAGTTAAACCAGATTCTAGTTACAAGAAATTCTTGTTTCTTATAAGCAATATGCCCATATTACATTTCTCTTCAATATAAATATTAACATAAACAATACTTTAATGGACACATCACTGCTTGGAAATAGCTGAGTGTTGGGGCATACTATGATTAAAAATTGAATCTGAATGGAAAATAATGTGAATGGAGTTTGACAAGACAAGGAATTAGAGGCAAAACTACAGCTGCACTGTGACTGTCTGCCACTCTGTTACATGAAACTGTTAGTAGGAAGGTTTCTTCACTAAATCCATATATGGACACTTCCCAGGAAAATCCTAAATCAATTAAAACATAGAAGATAAAGCAGTCACTCGTGTCAATGTCTTTGTGGCTTCCAAAGTTCAAAAAAGATCCATTTATATAAAAAATGGGTTCAACACGCAAGGCATACCAATGGGATGCAATGTGGAGAACTAGGAAACTAAGCAAGTGTACCCTGGACTGCAAGTGTACCCTGAAGTGCTTATCTTGAAAATGAATTCTATCCAGCTCAATATACGTGAACATACTTTCAAGTGAACGTATTTAGGATTAAGACACATCACACTTAGTGCCTTTAAAATCAATGAGACCAAAAGTCAGGATTAAAGTAAGTTATAGCACTAATAATAAGAGTGAAGAGCTTGAAAATATGTGGACTGCATATAAAAACCCTAAGACATCTGATTGTTGTTTAACAAGATCTCCCAGGAACCAGAGAATGAGGCTTCAAGAGTAATTTGAAATAGGCCTCTGTCATTCCCACATGAAAAGATGTCGTGAGTGCTTCCTCTTCTTGGTGCCCATTTGCACAGCGTTCTCCAGTGAACACTATGTACACTGTGAGGCTTCTAAACATCTCTTTCCTGTAACCCAGGCCCCCAAATTGTGACAAAAGTCACTCCAAAAACTTAGTTCTGAAAAAGCAAGTTCAGGAGCCTAGTGAGGAAGTGGGGGTGCGAAATCCCAGCATACGCACATGCAACCCCTTTGGTGGGATTCTTTGTACTACAGCAGATTTCTAACCATTTCTCAGGGGTGTGTTCAGTTTCATGTGGGTGTCTATCCCATTTAAAACACCATGCCAGATGAAAACTAGAAAAGTTACACTTACCGCTGAAGTGTAATTTATTACTAAAGTGACATCCTTTGGCACTACTTTAGCAGTCCTGCAATAGGGTTGCAGGTAGACTCAATAAGGAAATAGATGAGACTGATTTTCTGGCTGAGGAGATATTTTTAATATTTAATATTTTTCTAAGTTGTCTGGCAGACATTGCTGCCCTATTAATCGCTTTTGCAGCCAAGTGGGAGACAGGTAGTACTGAACAGTAAACCGCCAGATGAACACTTCCAGTTTCTCCAGATGAATTTAAAGACCTATTCCAAAGCAAGTATGAACTTCCTGCTTAATGATTATAGGCTGAAAAGGTTACAGTGCTTCACTAGACTTTTCAAAAACATTGGAGGGGGAGGTTTTAAAAAAAAACAGTAAAACTTGCTTCTATAAGTTGTCTGAGTGGGAAGAGAGACAACCAAGTTAGTAAACATGTCTTTATAAGACAAAGGTATGGGGACAATCAGACTTTGACACAACTTCTTTAGAACTCTATGACCATTCAGGTAAATGATACAGCTTCATTTTAGATGCTGTATTTTTAAGAATAAGAGCACATACAATAAATTTGTCTAACCAAGGATATAACCCTACATAAGATAGCAGTTCCTAATCAAAAGAATGCATGATCACTTTGGAACCAATACATCATCCAAAATTGACTCCATAAATTTTATAGAGATTCTGATAACAGATTCTGCTTTAGGAAGTCAAGAATGATCATCAATATCTATTTAATTATTGACCTGATTTGCATAACACAACAACTCATGGTGGCTTCATTTACCCATGGGAACTGCCATACTGTGCCAGGTATCTGCAGGTGTCATTTTTGTATGGTGCCTGGGGGTACCTGGTTGGCCTTTGCTTGTGGTATATATATGCACAAAATGGCACCCACAAGCACCTGGCAAAATGTCATGATGTGCAAACAGGCTCATGCAACTTGTTCACAAGATCAAAGAAACCCACATTACCAGCTGGGATCTGAATATTCACTGCCCATCTGTGACTTGGTGTGATGTATGAATCCAAGTGGCCAACTAATGTGCAGGTTAAACAATCATCAGAAGAGGCTTTCTGTTAAACAGCCATGGTGAGCTGTTTGATCCTGTCATGTCACGTCATGTCATGCCCTTATGATCCACGTACAGGATGCTTTACAGAGAACCAGTGGGCAGGTCTCATCCATAATGAGACCTCCATCTAGATTTTAAAACATGGGAGGAACCACAGGGGAAGGGGGAGGCAGGGTGTAAATGGAGCTAATGATAAAGAATATTTATCTCAATTGCATGCACTTAGGCTTAGTTACCCAAGTTACTTTAGTTACCATCACTTGGATATACATCTTAAAGTGATGAGTGGCTTTCAGATTGTGGAAGAAGCCAAGAGCAATGCTGCCAAGAGGCCAGACACTTTCACTAGGCTGGTTTCCTAGCAGTGTCATCCAAGGTAGAATAGTCAAAGCTGACACCAGACTAAGATGTATCCACTGTCTTAAGGAGCAACACTCACTTCAGCAGAGCTAAATGGGCATTTCTAATGGTGAAGGGTAGCTATTGGGCAGCAGTGGTAGTAGAAGGCAACCCTTGTGGAGGACATTTCTCAGGCAATGGCAGCAACACCAAAGACAACTCTGGTTGGTACTGTCCAGAAGGTGGCAATGGTAAACCACTGCTGAATGTTCTTACTTGTAAATCCTACGATGAAATAAACCAAAATGAAACAAGAGATAGTGCCAGAAGAGGAGACTTCAAGCTCAGAAAGCACTCAACCAGCTTTCTGGGGAAGAGGCAAGGACAAGTATAACTAGCACTGTCACTAGCGACACAATTAAATCAAAACCTAAAGGAAATCTAGTGACCAACAAACATGCAGAGAGATGAAAGGAAAGTCTGATGCTGCACAGCACATACAATTGGAACATGGAACTTGAGAATCAAGGCAAACTAGAAACTATAAAGCAAGAAATGGAATGTTTATGCATTCATACTTAATGTAAACAAACTAAACTGGACTGAAATGGGACTTTTTCATTCAGACAAGTACATAGTTTTACTCTGTAAATGATAAATTCAGAAGAAACGGAGTGGCTGTAATAAGCAGGCTAGAAGTAGCACAGGCAGAAGAGAGGCTATCATATAAAGTCTGACCAAATAATATAAATCAGAATTCTATCAAATAATGAATATTCAAATATGCACTGCAACAGCAGATGCAGAAGAAGAAGAAATTGAAAACTTACAGGAAAAAATTGGATGTGCTTGAAACAAGGTGCTGGAGGAGAGCTTTGCAAATACCCTGAACTGCTAGAACAATGAACAAGTGGGTCCTGATCAAATCATGCCAGAATTTGTCCTCAAGGCAAAACTGATGAACTTGTGACTATTGTACTTCTGCCACATCATAAGAAGGGAAAACTCCCTGGAGAAGATACTAATGCTAGGGAAAGTCAAAGACAGAAGAAAAAGAGGAAGACCAAAATGTGAGGTGGATCAATTCCATAAAGAAGCCACAGCCTTGAGTTTACAAGAGCCGAGGACAGCATACTGTGGAGGACATGCCTTCGAGAGTGGGATCAGCAGAAGTTGGAGATCACTCAACAGCACCTGAGGAGGAGGAGGAGGAAGAGGAAGAGGAAGAGTCCAGCAGCAGCAGCAGCAGCCTTAGTTTCAGCCCACAGAGCACATTCAGCCCTTTGTTATGGATCTTCCCTGAGGCCCATCAGAGCCTTTGTCCTCTCCCACATTCCTTCTGCTGCCACTTTTCAGCAGTTACTTGAGAGAGAAACTATGAAACAAGGTGAGCTGCAGCAGTCCCCTCTTCTACCCAGCCTGGCTTGGCCAAGGGTTCAAGTTCTTGTTCCTGGCACATCCTCCTCCTCCACATGTGTCCCAGCCCTGCAGTAGGGTATGGGAAGTGGAGGGATGTGTCAAAGGCTTCACAGGAAGAGTGGGTTTTGAAGAGGGATTTGGAGAAAGGAAGAGAAGTGACATCACAG